AAAAATTAAAAAAATTGAAGTTTACAAAAACTTTTGATTAATTTTTTTCACTAGAATTACAAAAAATATTGTTAGTTTTGAGAAAAACTGTTGGTTGGTTCCTTTGAATCAAAGNAAAAAAATTGAAGTTTACAAAAACTTTTGATTAATTTTTTTCACTAGAATTACAAAAAATATTGTTAGTTTTGAGAAAAACTGTTGGTTGGTTCCTTTGAATCAAAGATAGAGTTTTAAAAAACACTGTTTTTTTCACATTTGTTAGCTTCGTAAGAAAGTTTAGGATAATACGCACTATTTTTTCGCAGATCGAGGACTACACCAATCTTGGGGGTATCAATATTAATTATTTTTTTGCAGAAGTGTATATAAAACACCCATATATGGGTGTTTTGAAACAGATCCCGCCTGGTCTATTAGACTTAGACATAACGCATGGTAACCCGTTTGATGATTGCTATTAATTTTAACATGTACGTACTTCCATTGGTTTAGAAAATATCTATACGTACCTTGTATTTCGGAGAGGCGGTGTTAGGCGTTCTTGCGGTTTTTCTTGGATAAATTTTAATCTTCGAAATTGAGTATTTTGCTTGCACATACTTGTCTGCCTCTTTTTGTACAGCTCTTTTTGTACAGACATGGGTCTTGTGGTATGCATTCTCATATCTTTGAATTTTACACTGAAAATAAAAGCGACACTGGTACGAATTTCTCTGAATTTGCTTCAAGACTGATTTAGATAAGTCGTTTTATACGCTGCTCTACGTACAATCATACACTGTAGCCTTTGAACTATCTGCAGGGTTTCCCACCTAAAGTGAAGTTTCCTAGGAGACCTTTTTTAGAAGAACAATGGAAACATCGCTTAAAAAAACAAATGGGAAACTCTAGTTACATGGAAATATCTTGCAAAACTGTAGATACCCTAAAAGTCAAGGTCAACAATCGAATGCCTATGTTCAATAATAATGACCTTTAAGGTCTAGATCATTGACAGGTCCAGAGTCTTTTATTCCTAAATTTGTAGGTTTTAGAGTTATTTCAAAGTTTTTGGCAGTTTTTGTCATTTTTCTATTGACGTTTTGTTGTATACTGCCATTCTTTGATGTGTTGACCCCAGGGATCATTGGCCTTTTTGCCTCCCAAAATGACTGACCTTCGGCACCCGAGATCATTGACCTTTATTTGTGCGTTTGTCTACTTTCAAAATATTCGAAGTATTTTTAATGCCGTTTCAGTGTATTTTGACATACAGGGTGATTCAGAAATGGTGACCAAAAATGAAACCTCGTATTCTTTGGTGAATTTTAAGGGGAGTCTTTCCTATAAAGTTTTTATCTAGAACGGTTCCTTAAAGAGATACAGGGTGAACTTCAAAAAATATTTTTAATTTTATTAAATAATTTGACAACTAGTAAGTGAAATAATTTGAAATTGGGCACATGTATTTATGTAAACATTGTCCAAAATCTGAGAGCTTTTCCTAAAATTTATATACTCCAGTCGCGGAGAGACAGGGGATCGGTGGCATATTTTTCTAAATAAAATAGTACGCCACTGCTCGTGATATTTTCGGATTCGTCTTTCAATTTTCTACAAATTACTACTCTCTTATGTTTTTCGAAAAGAGCCTTCACTAATTTTATAATAAATCTACTTTGCGTCGTAATAACCAATTATCTAGAGCGTAATTTCACATAAAATGCTAACTAGCGGACAAACTAAAGTATTTCACGTTCAGTGGACTCTCGAACATATCGCATATACACAAATTAGTGCCAAGTGAGTAGTTAGCGCTCGTTCTTCAGGTGTATGTAGCGTTATGTCACAACTGAGAACAATACCCTCATGCAAAAGGCCTGCGACAACATCCTGTTGCATATTTTCACACACTATTCACGGACTAGACACATTACCAAACTCATATCTACAACTGTGCTGCCGTAATAGTGTCAGGGCATAAGCTGGAAAGGAAAATACAAAATATTGGAGTTTAAATAGTAGGTAGAACGCATTTTTCTATGGTTAAAATCGTTGAAACTGCAAAACGGCGTTCTGTTAAAACTAATTGAGAACTTCTGGAATCGTCCTCTGGTTGCATACTACATAAAAAGAGGTGAATTGATGAACATGATGATAACATACAGAAGAACTGCTGATGAATATTAGTCCATTTCCATTTCCATTGATGTCCATTTCCAAATAAGCATGCATCAACGCTTGAATAGAAGCAGATCATTTGTGAAGTCAGCGGATCCAAAAAGTTTTTTATCGTATCAAAGTGTCAAAAAAAATTGTGAGTAATATTTCTGCCAATAGAGTTTTAGCACATCGGTTTACTTATCTTCAAATATGCTCCAAACACTGAATAGCCTCAGGTATGTCGATATTCCTGCAATATGTGACTATTTCCTTGTGTTTACCAGTATTTTATTTTGCATGCACTTACAGGTTCTTGAATTTAGTTTATTTTACTTGGATTTTTTAAATACAAGTTTTTCTTGTAAGTTATGCCTTTTCCATTACTTTATCTGCTCTTTTTAACTTCGTTCATACATAACGTATGCTATTTCCGTTAAAACACGTGTTGTTTTATTTTTTTTTACCAATTAAGATAAGTATAATACTGTTTGAATGGAATCCGCAATGATAACAGTGAGTGAACGTCATGAGTCAACAAAACCAATTACTTCCGGTGGTTTTAGATAACGCCGAAGATTTCCCGTATGTTCTACAGCTTCGCAGAAACCACGAATTTCAACTCGGCACAAATCGCAGGGAATGCTTGTCAAAATTATTCAACGCCATGCAACAAAGCAAACGGCTTTGGCCTTATTTTATGTTTATGCGCCTGTACCATAGGCTAGAACGTGTGGCATTTGTTTATGCAACTATGTCAAATAATGATGGCTGTTCGTAGAAGCACAGTAAAGTTACACCTTTTACGATATTACATTGTTGCTGCAATTGTTCGGGTCGAGCTTTGATCAACGTTTGTCAACCATTCTTCATGTCAGGCATTCTACACATTTCCCAATGGATGCTCGCCGTGAGAATGGATATGACCCAAATGTACCATTCAAGCAGCGCCCTCTTTTGGATAAGTCAGCGGACCAACTAAATTGTATGATGTATATTTTTAATATAAAAATAATATAACGCGCAAAGTAGAAGAAGAAGATTATTAAAATATTCATTATTTCCTCGAATAAATCGTTTATAAACATTGAAAAGGGAGTGGTCCAAGATTTGAGCCTTGAGGCACACCCGGTGGTGATTTGAGACCCCCAATTTGAACAAACCCTTGATGGCCAATCAAATATGGGTAGAAGACATATAGTCCTGTTTACTTTCAATTCTCGAGAAATAGCGAACGTATTTTTCTCACTCTGTACCGACTTGTTTAATCTACAACGGAATGATTACGGCGCGTAAATCACCGCAGCTTTTTGGGAAACCGTTCGGCGTTAGATAAACACAAAGGTTCGTAGCAGGCCGCGAAGGATGTAGCGGTTAAAAGTTACTTCCTCGGGAAGTGTCCTTCCTCATTGAATTGCCCCACGCGCAAAAGTCACGCTGCGATAGGAAGGGCTCTGGTAAATTTTTCCCGTATGCGAGTGCGCTGGTTTAAATATATACAGGGTCGGAAAGTCCCCGTGGTTCATCGGTCGTTACGTGAGAGCGATAAAGTAAGTCATAGAAATCCGTGCGATGGAGAAAGATGGCTATAATGAAGGCGTCTAATAGTCACCGCCCATTTCGCCCTTCCACAAATAAGAAGTGGATCTTATTTGTAATATATATATATATATAAAAACAAGGATTCAAGACGGCAGAAAATTATTAGAAATTTATTATTTCCTCCATTAAGGTTGGACAACGCTTCGATCGAGTGGTGAGCACGAAACGGCAATCCGCTATTAGAACTATCCACAATTTAATAGGTATTTCCTTTTGGTTAGCGGAGTGTCCGCTTAATTTCATTAAATACCTATTATCTTGATTTATAGTGTCATCCTCGTGGACACGTAAGCGTATGCACGATTCCCGTGATTTATGTTTCAAGCTCCCCTGCCTCTGATCAATAGTTTAATGTAAAGTAAATTATTAGACACGCCAGTAGATGTGGGTGTACTTCTGCTGACGTGACGCTTCATTTGTCTTGAATATGTCGCTCTGTTCAGACAATTACCTCGTCAGGATTAGAAATTGGGTTAGTGCGTATGTTGGCACCTTTCTTCACGCTGATAAGGTTAATGTATTATGAAGAAATTTATTTAATTCAGTCTGTAACTTATGAGAGGTGTGGATAGAGCGAGCAATGGACAAAGTGAAATATGGAAATATGGAAAATGGGACAATGTAATGTTTAAGTAAAGCAGGATAATTTGGATGCTCTTAGTCCTGAGGTCAGTTTTACAGAGCGTGGTGAAAGGAAAGGAATGTAATTTCTGAGACTTCTCTCACGATCAATTCAGGGGTCTGGTTACTTGACTAATAATTTCAGGACAACACCACACTTTAAAACAGTTCAAAATACGTTAAAATTCGTGTGATCAGCTTTGGAACCCTTCAAAAGTACCACAGCAACTGTACTTTGTATAAAAGTACACTTGCAACAGTATAAGAAAACATTAAAATGTATCTAAACGATTTTAGAATACAACATACTCTTAAACTTTCTAAAAGTTCTTCTAATTCGCTATCAAATTCACTAAAATAATCTGGAAATACTTCAAAATTCTTCGAGAAAGCATTAACTGTATCGAAATATATCGAAAAAATATATTAAACTTCTGGAAATATTTCGAAACAGAAAAAACTCAAATATCGTGTAGATACCTCGAAAAATGTTAAAATATTTTATTTTGAATCGTTTCTCACAATTTTCCGTTAATTTCTTAGTAGCTGTTCATGATTATATCGGGCTATCGTCAAATAAAATTTCGTGGACTTGCCTTTATTAACATAATATTGACATACATTTTTTTATGTTGCAGGAATCTAGCCATAGGTATTGGCATCCAAAATTTTCCAGAGGGGCTTGCTGTTAGCCTGCCGTTGCAAGCCGCTGGCTTTTCGACATGGAGAAGTTTGTGGTAAGTAACATGGTGAAATAATTGTAGATATTTGTTCTTGGAAAAGATAACATGATCCATTGTTGGTTCGTTGAAAAACAAACTGAAATGAAAATGAAGAAAAAACACTACAAAGCCCCTCGAAGAATTTGTAGTCACCATATATGTAGTGACCTATCCACCCGTACGCAATAGAGATATAAATTCTCCTGCACCTGCAAAAATAATTTAAAAATAGTTTGCAATACTCAAAATGACGAATATTAAATTTGAAGTGAGAGATATACATCTGTTTTTGTAGGAATATGTCTTAAATAAAACACTTGCCTCTAGTACAAAATGATATTCAAAGCACTGACTTGTTCACCACAAGCCGCAACGCTTGTCTTGAGAATCATATGAGCAATTGAACATTACGTTTATAACCTAGATAGTATAATCCAAAATAAATTCTTATACCTCACAACAGTAACAATTATCATTTTGAGACATTTTTTGACCCCTCCCGTACGTCACTGGTTTCCTGAAATTTGATTAAATGTTCAAATCGTTATAATCTCGCCCACGACGTCGTTAAGGAAAGAAAAGGTTACAAAAACACGCATTTAATTGTCGATATTTCCGTTCTTTGTCTCCTAAGTAATTATTTCTAAATTACGCTCAAGAAATTACCTATTTCTGTAAAAATGTATGCTTAGCCGGTGCGAATCCTAATTCGGCGAGGTCAGCGGCACAGAATTATGTACCGTTTCGCAACTTTCTTTTCGGCTCAACGCGAGACATTCCATTCATAATGATTTCATTCATTAAAATATCCGTATGCAAAAATATGTAGGTTTATGAATTTCTTGAGATTTGTCACAAAGCCCAGGCTCGACCGATACAGGTTTCTACCGACACCATCCATTCACACTGCGTAGAATTTCGATTCACAAATGGGCGAGCTATTAATTCGTTCTATATTACTTATGGATATATTTTGCGAGTCCTTTTTAATTCTTGGTTTACTACATAGGCTGGTGCTGAGTTGTTTTTAGTGGCACACTGGCGACAATGGAAAATAATTTAATAAAACAGTTTGGTTTTGTGTGGCTCAGCTACGTGTTCTTTTAAAGTCACCATATTTTTTTATTATCAGTCTATACTTGCCAAATTATTTTTTTGTATTGGTAGTCCGTAGTGTTATTTTAATTACTCTTTTCCATATACACAGAGACACCAATAGTGAGTGTACTAGTTTTTTATAATGCGTGTCCTGTATGTTTGTTTGTGTTTTTTTTTAAACCGACGTTTCCGGAATAGGTAAAATGCCGCTTACGGCAAACCACGCGCCGCCTGCAGTTGCCTGCAAAATGGAAAATGCAAGGCCGCAGGAAAAGCCTACATATCTCCCATGAGAGATGCCTAAACAAGACCTCTGCGATCTCGTACGCCGTATTTGTGTAACTTCGACGGAATCGGAGTTGCCAAGTTTCTTTCAACATTTCAAATATCTAAGGAACTATAGAAGGGTGTAAACTTTCAGGATGTAACAAATGTTCGGTTCCGGCCGCTGGGCGCAGGGGTGGTGCGATCGGAGTGATTTTCGCGTCGTCGTGTGGGTTGGACCTTTCTGCGTCGAATACGAATCTTCCTTTTTTACTTACATGTTGCATTCACCAAAAAATTATGCAAATAATTTGCAGTTGCTATCGTCCATGTATTTCTCTACAACATATTTTATAAAAAAAATTTAAGCGTGATTAGGTAAATTAGATAAACGTTTTTCATAAATTTTGTTTATGTTTATAGAGAAAGTCATTGAGAAAAAAAAATTATGATTCAAGCAAATTTTTATCTAATATGAGTAGTCTTACCTCAGAATAAGGTTCGGAGAAGATTAGTATTTTGATTTTAAAATATTATACTGATTAATGAATTTAGATACTTAATCTTCAGAAGGAAAAGACAAAAAAAATTATAACTGACCAGTTATTCTATTTCTCGTAAAAATAATTTCTAATTCATTTAATAATTCTGATCCAATATATTTCAAATTAAAATAAAAATTATGTGATTGGCTAACACTTAATTTATTTTACTATTTATCCAAAATTTTTTCAATCTTCTAAGAAAGAAATTGAAGGTAAATGAACAATCTATCTAATCCGTAAGGTGGTTAAGTTGGAAAAAATTTTTTCAAGTCCGTACACCAAAAATAAGATCGAAAAAAATTTCGAAAAATTTTTTTCATGATATTCATTAAGATTGCGCGATACGTGTTATTTGAAAAAATTTTTTTTGCAAGATCCAAAAATTAGAAACTTCAAGCTTCAAATTGTTTTTTTTTACTTCAATACGACCATTTTTATCAAATATACAGCCATTTGAAAAATCGCCGAAAATTTAGATTTTTTTGATCCCTTAATTTTTTCCATTAGTGTATTTCTATTCCCTGTCGGTGACTTGGATTTGATCTGTGTTGATTCGAAACTGGATAATACTTACAGTTAACTTTGTTTTGTTATTGGACTTACTTAAGTTTCTATTGTCCGTAATCTTCAATTAATTTAGTTCTTGTGACTTCTTATAAATCGTTTTTCTTTATTGAATACATTTGTTTCTTTCTGGCAATCAAATTATCTTCCTTTTAAATTAAAAAATTTTATTTTCCAAAACTTTAGCTGTCCGATCCTCAATTTATTATTTTTCTTTCTTAGTTACCTCACTCTTTTTCTTTTTATGCACCACTATTTTTTTTTAATCGCTTTCTAATTCTAGTAATCCAAATTTTATTACCAATCACATTTTCAAATTCGAATATACTTTATTACGTTATATTTCTTTAAATTATGTTTGAAATTTATTTTTTTACGAAAATTTTAATTGATCATATACTAATTTTTATTTATTTTATTTTTTCTTTCTCAATTTCAACCATCTACTGTGCTCCTGTTGGTCACACTTATCCAACTTATAATTTATTTCTTTAAAATCAATTTTACCAATTTTATTTTCGCAAATTTACAACAGTATTTCGATGCTTTACTGTCCAATTTTGCCAAACTAAAGATACCACAGTTGACGTTCAATCGCGCTTCATGGTGGTTCCGCCAATTCTCGGGGACTGCTATTCGATTTAGATCCTAATATCTGCGGATGCAAGTGATTCACGACTATTGACTTTGCTGTTGTGGAATCTGGAGATTTGTCGTAGCGTTGTTTTTCGATAATTATTTTATAAATAATAACTTGACGTTTGAATTTGGCGATTTTTGACGTTTTTTCGCGAGAAAATCTGGCGGAGACCAATAGAAACAGTTGGCAACTCCGGACAAAGTGAACGGGCGATCCGCTCGGCAACTGAAAGAGAGGCTACCAACGAGCCGATGGCGACCTTGTCAGGGTCGCAAATGCCAGGCGTGTTGCAAGACGCACTCAGCGGGTTGCTTGGTGTTGTACCATGATTAATAATAGGCATTTAATAACCGGGATTAGTCCGTGGCGTGTTCTGAATAAAATTTAGCGCAAATATTTCTCGACGGTAATTGTCCTAATCACGAGTTCCACATTCCAGTCTCGAAAGATCGGAATGCGTTTGGCCGTTGACTAGTGAAAGGAGGTACGGACTGACGGGTGTAGCAGCAAGTGCGAAAATCTCTGTACGTCTTTTTTCGTCTTCACGAGATTATTTGTCGGACCTACTTACTGTAACCGAGAAATATTTCTGAAGAATTTTTAATTTCGACCAGGGCGGATCTGTTTTGGGGTAGACGTGAGAGAGGGCAAGCAAATTTTTGCTGGATTACCTTCATAATACAGTCCGAGGTACAGTTATTGAAGCTGAAAATCAGCTGTAACCTCTGAATTCTTTGAAACTGCATGGATTTGCATGAAAATTTAGAATAAGGCTCATCTTAGGCTCAAGTTCAAAAGTGACATAAGCCCGATTGACGCTTTTGTTCTTTAAGGGTAAAAACTACCCCTAAGTGAAAAAAATTGTTTTAAGCATTTTGTTGATACAAATCTTGTTCAAGCACAAAGATTAAAGAATGGTCCATGTTCTCGAACATGTTTTATGATATATTTGATCTTTTCGACCCTTTATTTAACTCTTCAAAACTACCCCTATGCAAAAAATAATGATAAAAAATTACTTTTTAAAGATTTGGAATGATTAAATCGTGTAATTGTGTAAAATAAAAGTTACCTTATAGATAATAAAAGAATTTTTCCCGTTCAACCCCTAAAAACCAACCCTGTATTGACAAAAATGATAAAAAATTATTTTTTAAAAGCTTAGGATGCTTTAACAGTGCAATTATTTAAAATAAACATTCCCTCATTGCTTATGATAGAATTTGTATCTCATAACACTTTTCAACCCTTATAAATCACCCTGTCCTAAACAAATTATAAAAAATTACGTTTTAAATCTTGGAATGCTATAATTGTGCAATAATTTAAAATAGAAATTCCCTTATATTGTTTATGAAAGAATATTTTACTTTTGCCATTTTACCAATATTAATGTAAAATATTTTTATTATAATCGATTTTTAAATATAATCAATCATAAAAAAATTGCTACGCTGCGTACACACTAAATTTTTTTACTTATTTTATTTTATAATATTATATATAATATATAAAAATGAGAAAGCCTATTTTGCTCCGAAAAAATGTCATTGGTTTTTTTACCATAATTCGGTTAATTTTGAAGCTATAGTATCCTACAAAAAAGCCTTTTAAAGATAATTTCAAGAGCTGTAAGATCGTTTGCATATAAAACCTTTTCGTTCGTTTTTTAAAAGGAAAGGATCGAAGGGATCGAGACAGGTCGTTTTTTTCACTAAAATGGATATTTCAAGCGGTGATATCTCCTTTATTTTTTATGCTATAGGAATAAAAAAAGCAAAATATTTGTTGAAAAAAAAGCTACATTTTTGTTGTCTATCATTTTTTACGTATATTTCATGGTTTCAGAGTTATTATATAAATAAGGCAATTTTTTTTGAATAATGAAAAATACGTTTTCAATT